GTGGTGTCAACGAGGTTTCCGTTAGAAATTTCAACTTGGACTGTGCAATTTGTGAATTGATCATTCTATTTAAGGTATTTCAACCAAGTTAGCTAGCCAGTTGTTCTAACAAATCGCATCTGTAGGCTGAATTTGTCCGAGTATACGGCTGATGAGGTTGGCACCAAATGAGTGAAACACCGTCCACTGTTTAGACCATTCTAATCTGGTCAACTTGAGTAGTTTCTAACTGCTTAAGTTGTTCAGTGGTATATTTCTCTATTCCACTTAACATTTTAATAATTTATTAACTTTAAAGATTTATACTGTTTGCTTATAATTAATATGAAAATGAATGTAAATGGTACGCTCACAGTGATAGCTTTCTATTCTATGTATGGACGGCATAGATTATCGACTAACCTAATCGATAAGTAGATTTCTCTTGCTTTTTCATGAGTTTCCAATTAAGGTGGAAAGTACTACTTTGATATACAGTTTAGTTCTATTCTGTTGTAAATGTTCTACTTATTTTAGTGTGCGCTTGTGTGTGTATGCGTGTTTAGCACACAACTCTGTTAATTCTCGCATTATCTGAAGCTGATTATTAACACCAAGTTCACCAGACAGTAATCAAGACAATACTGATCTAGTCTTATCAATCGGAATATTCAACACAAACACAAGTTAAAATAACAAAGTATATTGATCCCACACATGTGTATTTTCAAGTATTTCAATTTTGTCGACAGTAAGTTGTGAACTCTGTCACTGATATATTGAAATACTTAAAGATGAGTGTTTATACTTTAAATCCATTTGATTCAATATCATAAGCAAGGTATTAGAAATCGTTGTTACAATTCAAAAGTTATTTAAGTGAACAAAGACTATTCTTTTCGATAACTTCGTCTTCAGCTCCTACAGGATTATGCATCGACAATATTGAGATTCCGCTTATTTCATTAATTAATACCACTATACAGTCAGGGAAGTCAATTCACAAAAGTCTTGTGTGAACGTTTTAAGCTAGAATCAATTGTTACAGGGATTGAATTGACCAAAATAGTTGATTATCTAGTCGATTATACTGGTTGTGTAACACTATAAGGTGATATGATAGTTTAATAAAGCAATAGGAAATTGTGTTATGAGATCTGAATGAAACAAACTAATAAAGATAATTTTAGGGATAATAGCTTGATAGGATGTTACTCATGTTGGGGGAGAGAATAGGTTGAGAGAATGTGTTAAAGGATGAAGGGATATCTACAGTATAGAATTAGACCATGTGGTGTAGTGTGCTAGTGAATTTGTGCTTCGTGAATCGGGTTACGGTAGTGTTTATACGCTCAAACGAGTTGAGTTGTATGAACAAAGAGAGAAAGTGTTGCCGCTATAACTACTATGGCCTGATTCAGGACGCACAAATTTTTAGTAGCTTTCCCCAAGCAATTTAGTTTCTTAATTGCATACTCTACACACCCGATCATTCTTATAATCTGAAAATGTTTTAACCTACTTTGTCCCCCAACATGAGTAACGTTCTATCAAGCTATTATTCATTACATTATCTTTCTTAGTCTGTTTCATGCAGTCCTCGTAAACACCTTCCTGTTGTTTTACTAAACTATTATTTATAATTGAATCACCGTAACAATTGACTGACTACTCTTTTTGTGATAAGTGAAAAGTTTGTCAGCTTGTTTATTTCCTTTTGATTTCTGTCCTGTTAATATTCTGCATGAGTTGGTGATGGTAACTTTCAATTGGAAACGATACCTTCTTTTCGTATACACAGTTGTAACCATTTTATCTCAAATCATGTTACTTGCTATCTATATCAGTAGTGTTGATAGTGATGTTTATATATATATATATATATATATATATATATATATATATATATATATATATATATATATATATATATATATATAGGTGAACAGTTGGAAGAAAAATCTATCATTGTTGGAATCCCGACAGATGTCCTCGAGGAACTATTTCTCAAATGTATGATGAATGATAACTCTAAATTTAACGGTGAACTATTTAAAGAAGTAGATGGAGTCGCAATGAGCTCGCCACTGGGTCCCATATTAGGAGACCTTTTCCTATCGAAACTAGAGAATGGTTTACTTGAAAGATCTATCAGAGAATTTTCATTTTACTGTCGATATATAGATGATACATCCATACTGTTTGAAAATAACATGGACAGGTCAAAGATACTCAGCACATCCAACGCAGTACATCCAGTAATGAAGTTTACATGTGAGAAAGGGTTACAATGCAAGATAACCTTTCTCGACGTTCTCTCAAGATGAAAAGATGAATCAAGTAAAATTTGTTTGGGAGAAGTATGGATTTTCTCAGCTTCGCCCTCTTCAGTACAAAATAAACTTAATAAAGTGTATATGTTCGAAAGATACAGTTGAGGAGAAACTGGGGACTTTGCACAACATTAATCGAAAGTGGCTCTCCTGATTAATTCATAAAGAAACATGATTACAAAATTGACAAAAAGAGATGTTCTAACGGCTGGCAGAAAACTGCTATACACTCGGGTGCAATTAGGAGGTGTAGTGCTCAGCGAGATAATAATTCATTAACTATGCATGTCAATTCAGCAAACTTTTTATGCCGATAAGTCGCAAGTTACGTTTTCCACACGCCCATTGGGGATACCGAGGCTGAAAAATGAATTGCTCAAGCTGGCCACTTCCTGTTGTTTTTGTCAGTTCGAATGGTCTTGTGGAGCCAGTTACGTGGACCGTTGCTCTAGGAATTTAATTATTCGTGCTTGCAAACATTTTCCTGCGTGGTTAAGTGTGAGTGCGGTGAAGACCATTACTAGATCCATGTTAGCACACTTAGTTGAAACGAACCGTAAAGTGGATGCGAATTAATCATTTTTCATTCTGTACCGCGTTTCTACGAAGTTACTGAAAGGTACCCGACTCATAATCCTTCAAACTGCAGAGGCAATAGCAATCAGGATCAAACAACCCAAGTTTGTATTCAGAAGAAGCAAGTGTTGCGTCCACAGCTACCGTGACCCGATTCACGAAGCACGGATTCACTAGCATACTACACCAGATAGTCTAATTCTATACTGTAGATATCCCTTCATCCTTTAACACATTCTCTTAACCTATTCTGTCCTCCAACATGAGTAACATTCTATCAACCTATACATCCGTGATGGTAAACTGCCTTGGTAAGAACGTATTCGCCTTTCAATTGGTCAACGCGTAACTGACGTTGTTAAAAATGTGTTTACAAATATGAAGTAGTCACCAGATTGTAATTGAAGAACTCATTCCGAGTTGTAATTGCTCGGCAACAATATCACGGAAGGAATTATTGAGGTGGAGATGCAGTTTTTTCAAGTCAATTCTGTCCTTTTTTACGCTGACTTTGATGACTTAGCTACCTTGTGTGAGTGTAATTTCGAAGCGTTCTATAACCAAACAGTGTTTGATTAATTTGGTTGGTTGTGGCTGGCAGAGGAATCCAGGACGCGCGTCTTGTCCTGTTCGGGACTCGTCAGCTAGATGGATGTACTTGCACCCCAGTTAGCGATGTTCCCCTTGAGACTCGAACCTCGTACCTATCGCTCCAAACGCCAAGGCGTCGTCCACTGTGTTAAGGAGGAACGATACCCACTTCTTTTACAACGGGGTAGTAGTTACTACTATTTATTGACATACCTGTAATTTTCTGTTGTTTTGTTGGATCGAATTGTTCAACCTCTGTTGGCATATGGGCTCCTATGTGGCTGCCTGGGTATTGCCTGAATGTTAATTATCGTAATTTGCTCGGTTGTGCCTATCGTGCCTCCATGGCACAGTGGATAATGCCTAGGCGTTTGAAGCGATGGTTACGAGGTCCGAGTTTCAGTGGGGATAACATCACTCACTGGGTGCATCCAGCTGATGAGTTGCGAACAGGATGGAATATGCGTCCTGAATTCCTCTACTAGCCACAATCAACCAAATTACCAGAATTAACACTCAGGCAACATCAAGGCATCCGCATAGGAGTCCATATACCAATAGGGGTCGAACAGTTCGATCCAATAAAAGCAACGGAAAATTACAAGTATACCAATAAATAGTGTTTGATTATATTGATGTTGTTTAGGAGGAGCTAAAAAGTGATCAATATTTATGGCTTTACACCCTAGGATAAATGATATTCCTCCCGATTGACTACCCCTAAAATGTAACACCTGAATACAGTGCCCCACAGTTGTGTGTCGCCACGTTGCAAAGGTAATCGACAGACTTCGATCAATGCTGAGCACTAAGGACTCGACTGCTGACCAACTTTTGTTAAACATATTCTTGTTAATATCTACTGACTCACTGAATAATCTATGTGAAGGTCACTCAACTCAGATACTTGAAATGACAAGGTTCAAAATCAATACCGATAGTGATCGAACAACAGTTTATTTTTTATCCAAGGCAATAACCACTCGTTGAAAATATATTTCATGTGATTATATTTTCTAAAAATGTCTCGCATTTCATATTTTGTTAGATTAATTACCGTGGCGCATATTTTTATCATCAGGTTGTATTGTGTTTGTGTCTTATATGCTGACGGCTAGGTGAAGCTGTGGTTCATATACCTAACTCTGCGAGTGAATTTCAACCCATTAGCCATTGGCTGAAGCCTCACTTCACAATCCTCGGTTTGGGTGCTAGGCATTTGGTATTATCAGCCGTCAGACAGTCGATGTAACTTATCGTTTAGTGCATACACTTGTGTATAGAACAAAAAGATTATGTCAATATATACTACTTAGTATTTTTTAATAATATTGCGTATGTAGTATCACTATTATTGTAATTGTGTAGATTTAAGTGGTCGCTATATTGTTTGCCAGTTGGCATTTGATTATGTGCACTTGTCTAAAAAATCCCAATGTGCCGTGAAATATGGAACAATCCTCAATGCAAATATCCAATCTACTCTTTTTTTTTGTTACTGTTATCATTTTAACTAAATAGGTAAAAGAACCTTCTACGGTATGTTGATGGATGGTTATCATTCTGCAATTCGATATTATTTGAATAACTTTAATGATGGATTTCGTCAAGATTCAATGCATTTACTACTTGGTCAGTATAAAGTATGCGATTCCAATGGTAACCCGAAACCATTGCATGGACCAGGTGGACTTCGACGTCGTCGAGGCACTTCTGACTCTGAATGGTTTACACAATTTCTGCCGCTGATATTTAGTTTCACATTGGCTATGTCGGTATTATGTTGTATCTTTCCTACAGGTGAGATTTTTATACTTTTAAAAGTCATTTGTATCTAAATCGGTATGTTGTCATGTTTACTTGAATTACAAAGAGAACATTAAACCAACTGATAGCATATAGCTGTTATATTTCAAAGTACTACTATCTGTCTTTTCCACATCTTAACATCCGTAAACGTTTGTGAAAAAAAGGTGTAAAACAGGATTTATGGGGTAATAATAATCTATGAGAATAAATATGCACTTCGTTACTAGAAAGCAAAGTAAATGCAAACAGTGGAATTGAGGGGATTGTGTAGTACTGGATTCAGTTGTGTGGTTTGTAGAGAATTGGTTGACTTCAAAACTACAAAGGCATTGAAAATCACGATGTTCTGAAGAATTGTTCACATATTTTTTCTAAAAAAAGAATGGCTATTTTCTGGTTCAAGGGTGTTCATCCATTCTTCAATAGGTAGCAAAGAAATAGAAGAAGAAACTTGATTTTGTAAACTTCAGGATCAAAATTTGACCTGATAGAGTTGAATAGGTTGAAACCATCAGAAATTTATTTTTCTACTTCATTGGGATTTTACAAAATATATTTCATTTATAAGAAACTGGGTTGTTTTTCTTTGCTGGTAATTTATTATCACTTGACTTTTCAGCTCATTGGACAGAAAAAGCCACATATGTACTCTTCTGGGGAGGAGCTTCCATCCTTTCAGCTTTTGCAATATTCACCTATGGTGAGGAATTTGTTGATCGCCCACGATTTTGTCCAGAATGAAAATATACAATCTTAGTTTCAGATGGAATAATGAATTAAATACACTAGGAACATGTTGTGTACTGGATCCTGTTCGATTTTTTTCTGATAAAAAGACTTTCTTACGATCAAATTATACTACTGACTGGTTTGTGAGGTCTGTACTGCTGTTTTTTGTGTACACGACTTATTCAGCCAGTTCTTACTGACTACTCTCTTTGTGATAAGTGAAAAGTTTGTCAGCTTGTGTTTATTTCCTTTTGATTTCTGTCTTGTTAATATTCTGCATGAGTTGGTGATGGTAACTTTCAATTGGAAACGATACCTTCTTTTCGTATGCACAGTTGTAACCATTTTATCTCAAATCATGTTACTTGCTATCTATATCAGTAGTGTGATAGTGATATTTGACTGACTGACGCTTGATACTTTGTTGATACGGAGTCTGCAGCTAGTTTTCTAGTTGACACTGTTTTTTCTAAAGGTAACAATTTGTGATATGCATTAATGATGATAATAATAATAATAATAATAATAATAATAATAATAATAATAATAATGGTAATATTACGTCAGTTTAGCGTGCTTCTTTCTCTTGACATATTTGAATAGATATTTTCTTAAGATTTTCTCGTTGTTTTTTTCTTGCTTTGGAGGAATATATGCTGAGACAAAAAGATTGAAACTTGGCGTCAATGAGCTTTTGAGGTAGTGCTGATAGCCAACGACAACAAATAGTATTTTTCTTTGGTGACCATTAGTATCTGAGTTAATTTAAATGACATTTATACAAATAGATAGACAATGGTATATCCTAGCATAACTGCATGTTGTCCAGGTTTTCACAGTTCACGCTGGGCATGAAAGTCAACAAAACAGAAAATTATTAGAAATTCCTATTGTATTTTAAAAGCTATTTAAGTGAACAAAGACTATTCTTTTCGATAACTTCGTCTTCAGCTCCTACAGGATTATGCATCGACAATATTGAGATTCCGCTTATTTCATTAATTAATACCACTATACAGTCAGGGAAGTCAATTCACAAAAGTCTTGTGTGAACGTTTTAAGCTAGAATCAATTGTTACAGGGATTGAATTGACCAAAATAGTTGATTATCTAGTCGATTATACTGGTTGTGTAACACTATAAGGTGATATGATAGTTTAATAAAGCAATAGGAAATTGTGTTATGAGATCTGAATGAAACAAACTAATAAAGATAATTTTAGGGATAATAGCTTGATAGGATGTTACTCATGTTGGGGGAGAGAATAGGTTGAGAGAATGTGTTAAAGGATGAAGGGATGTCTACAGTATAGAATTAGACCATGTGGTGTAGTGTGCTAGTGAATTTGTGCTTCGTGAATCGGGTTACGGTAGTGTTTATACATCTCAAACGAGTTGAGTTGTATGAACAAAGAGAGAAAGTGTTGCCGCTATAACTACTATGGCCTGATTCAGGACGCACAAATTTTTAGTAGCTTTCCCCAAGCAATTTAGTTTCTTAATTGCATACTCTACACACCCGATCATTCTTATAATCTGAAAATGTTTTAACCTACTTTGTCCCCCAACATGAGTAACGTTCTATCAAGCTATTATTCATTACATTATCTTTCTTAGTCTGTTTCATGCAGTCCTCGTAAACACCTTCCTGTTGTTTTACTAAACTATTATTTATAATTGAATCACCGTAACAATTGATTCTATCGCTAACGTCCATACAAAATGTTCCTCAATTGTATAATATTAACATACTGATAAGTAGAATACCTATATTGTCAATCCATAATGCCTAAGATGTACTATAGGACCTGAAGAAGAAGGAGAAGATCTATTCGGAAGAAGAAGGAGAAAATATTGCGATGTGTAAACAAACAGTCAAGGTTATGTAGAGAAGCACAACCGCCCCCCGCCCCCCAGAAATCTCTTGTTCTCTGAGGTTATTGTGATAATTTGAGTATTCCACTGTTCTCAAATATAGGGCGTCACATTACTTTGTTATGATCCAGATTGCCATATCAACATGGCAAGATACAAGGCAGTAAGACGAAAAAAATCGATAAAATATCATCAAATGTTATAGAAAGCCAGTGATGCCTTTAAATAAAGACAGAAGAAGCACAAGGTTGCCCAATATCACCAATGATTTTCCTGATATTGGTCGACTGAACTGGATCATGCGACAAATTGTGAGGAGCGAGAAGAGGGGCATACACTGGCTGGACCGGTGGAAAGGGAGATTTGGATTTCGCCGATGATGATTTATATCTAATGTCGCACAAACTTAGCAGATCTACAGGGGAAAACAAACAAGTTGGCAGAAGAGGCAGCGAAGGAAGACGGGAATTCAGGTGAACGTAGAGAAGACACAGGTGATGAAGACTACCCAAACAACAACAAGTACCAATCATCATCAACGGAAGAGATCCAAACAAAATTGTCTCTTTTACCTACCTCTCTACCTAGGCAGCATCGTTTCCACTACAGGCGGCCGAGACACAGATGAGGATGTCGGAAAGTCAGTAAGACAGCCCTTCATTAATCTGAAATCAGTGTGGAGATCTACTGCACTGGACTGGACTTCACTCCATTCAGCATACAGCGCGAAAAAGATGCTGATTTTCAACACTAGGTCAGCCAAGTCAGTGCTTCTATATATGGTTGATTCAGAGACTTGGCGCGTTATGTAAAGCGATTGTAACAAACTGCAGACATACATCATCAACGGCTGCCGCCTACGCGCACTCGATACTGAAGATCAGATGGCCAGAATGATAAGAATAAGTAACAAGGAACTCTGGCTGGCTGGCGACGAACCAACCAACAAATATGCAGTAGAAGAAAGTGGATATGGATTGGATCGGGCATCCATTGAGAAGGCCGATTGGGGAAATCACACGCCAGACCAGGCCAGGCCAGGCCGTCGAGTGGAATCCAAAAGGGGAACGACGAGTTGGGCGTCCCAGCTGAGGGTGACATGGAGGAGATCGTGCGAGGAAGAAATGAAAGCTTGTGGGCAGTCGTGGAGCGAGGTTCAAAAGACTGTAGAGAAGAGAGTGAAGTGGTGACGTGTTACTGAAGCCGTATGTTCCACTAGGAACCCAAGGGACAAATAAAAAATAAAATAATGAAATGTCATAGAAAGCCATGAGACGAAAAGAAGAGGTAATTATGGAAATGATAAACTGTGAAATACCGGTTACAACTGTTGTGATCTATTCTGTGGTATATCATGAGAAAGTCAAACAACAGTTGCAGTTATCACTCGTAGGGCATGGAGAGGTTTACTTCTCTCCAATCAACCTAAACCAGCAGTCAGAAACTTCATGAATTGGTGCTGTATATTAGCTCAATTATTCACATATTTTTCAACTTAGACGTGGTTCAACTTTATAAATGGTTGTATATACAGATGGCGTGTTGGGTTGCTTAACACATATTCTAGGCACCTCATTTAATGAACATTTATAACCATATTGATTTATTTACCTGCGATTGTACTTCTCGCTTCCATGTTTCTAATGTTACCCTGTAACAATTAGGTAATGAACGCGTCTACTTGCCTCCGACACTAATGGTAATATTTTGCAACCATGAAATAGGAACAAAGTGAACTGTTATGCAGTTTGCTCAACTCAGCAGATGACAATCGGATATTGCTCCGCTGGCCTAACCCAGTAGGAATAAACTGCGTGTTTTGTATTTAGATTCTAAAATTTTATTTTACTATTATGAACTAGAAGTTAATGTCAGTGGAGAAGTGTTACAGTCTGGTGGACAATGTTAGAAGCAGCTGTTTCTTAACTCAGCACTATTGCGGTGTAATATCCGAATACTTAACCATATATGACAAGTTATTGACTAAATTGTATCGATTACCAATTTGTCTGCGAATACGTTTCGTAACTTCAAGTAGGATAAACTTATTGAGAGTTTATACATACTGAATTGTTGTACGTACATGGAGTCTCGACATCTTAGTAACTAGGTGGGATTATGAAGTGGTCGTACGTCAATTACGTCCGTAATCGTACGACTGATCAACGAGAAGACGGATTACAGGGAAGTTGAACGAACCTTTTTGAAACAGGTTAATTAATCGTTTCTCAATGACCACATTTGTATGGCTTGCAGAAAGTGCTTAGGGCTAACGCGCCGATAAAACTAACATCAGTCATCAATTCACCGTTTCATAAACTCAATGGTTAAAAAAGCAGTGGGAACTCACTTGGGAAATTGAATCAACCGCAGCGGGTCAGCGGCTGACGAAACCCCTGCATGGATACAAAAGACTCGATTGTCTTCAGCCAACTCACGTCATCTGAGGCGCCGCCGCGATAGCCGACTGTCTTATTAAGGGACCAGTGTACTGTGCTGCAACCCTAAACATGATCACTAAAGGTAGAAGAGATGAGAAGGATTCGACTGTTTAACTATCGTTGCTTTCGTAACATAGGCAGTGTGTAGTAGTATCACCACGTGAGTATTGCAGAAGTCACATTTAGAGTTATAGGGAGAAGAGAAATCAGTTGATGCGGTGGTGAACCCTCATCGACTGAGATGGCTGGGACATGTGTTACGCATGCCTAGTCACCGTCTACCTCGTTGCGCATTGGCTACAATAGTTTCAGGTTAGGGACGACTAGACTTAGACATGGAATCACTGCATGAAGTCGCTGACTATTGGTTTGAGCCATGTTAGGAGATACAGACTAGCTGGTTGGAGTCTACGTGACAACAGAGACCAGCTGTTGGAGACTCTAGGCTGCATGGCTGAGAATCAATATCAGTGGCGCAGATGTATTCATTCTTTATCTTAAACGCTATACTGAATTCACCATTTTCTTCTTCCTCTCTTTGCTACTGTTTTCGACCGATACTGTTGTGCAGTAATGCGCAGTCCTATGTTGATGTCCATTGATTAAGCTGCATAAAAATAGCTGTTCACGCTGAAAGATCCCTTCTACTTTGAAATCTTAGGAGACCTAAATAGTTCACAATCTAATGGTTTTGTGTGATGTATCGGGCTTACCATACAAAGATAAAGCTAGAAGGAACCATCGACTTCTACGTTAATATATTCAAATACGCTCCTGCTACCTAAAAAGTAATTCAAACAGCTTTCACTAACATATGTGGAAGAAATTCGAATGCAATTTAACAAAGTCTTATAACTTGAAATTTATGGAGTTGCCTGTTAAGTTCGACCCCTACCAACATCTTTATTTGATACAGAAAAACGAAAGTTAGCTGTGCACGAAATTGCAACAGCCGTCTGTGTTAAGCATGTTAACTATCCATTTGCATTATGGAACAGTGTTGAATAAGTTTGTTATCTACTGTCTCCAATGAATAATACTATAAAAATTATTATTATTATTTGTCCCTTGGGTTCCTAGTGGAACATACGGCTTCAGTAACACGTCACCACTTCACTCTCTTCTCTACAGTCTTTTGAACCTCGCTCCACGACTGCCCACAAGCTTTCATTTCTTCCTCGCACGATCTCCTCCATGTCACCCTCAGCTGGGACGCCCAACTCGTCGTTCCCCTTTTGGATTCCACTCGACGGCCTGGCCTGGCCTGGTCTGGCGTGTGATTTCCCCAATCGGCCTT